CTGCTCCTGTAAGGCAGAGAGTCTAACCTTGAGTACATGTTCCTGTATGTATTGGTGTGTCTGAGATTCTCATGCTGTTTGTTGGCTTAACTTGCACCTCATAATAAGAAACATCAGATTAAATGTCAACAAAAATACCTGTATAGTTTCTTTCATGTTTCCATAAATATTTACTCTGTATTTACTGGCAATATACTTTAAAACACAGTAAAGCCCTTTGGGACAACTTGAGGAAAGTGCGCACGTACAAGGTGTGTGTGTATGTATGTATGTATGTATGTATGGTACTGCAGTTGTGACTCTGCACTGTTCTCTCTGTTGATTGCAATCAGAGTGTTGTCTGGAATCTGTTGGTTAAAGTTTCGCATAAGTTTTATACATAACTGGCAGGAAGTTACTTCAGGTCCTGTGTGTGTGTTTTAAATCTTCTTTGTTTGCTTCGAACACATATGACGATGGCATGATAGCTGATGCGCAATGCGGCACTGTTGCATGATGACACTGTTGTTTATTGCACGATACTGTTGCATGATATGCAACTGCTGCATGATGGCACTGTTGCATGATAACACTGTTGCACGAATGTCACAGTTGCATGATGGCACTGTTGCATGATGGCACATTGCGCTGATAGCACCCACACAACCAAACCCCCAAACACCCCTGTTGCATAATGGCACTTTGCATGATGGCACTGATGCATGATAGCAATGGCATAATAATAGCACCGCTGCATAGCATGCACTATTGCATGGATAACACTGATGCATAATGGCAATGTCATGATGATGGCACTGTTGCATGATGGCACCACATGATGGCACTGTTGCAGCCTCCAAGCACTGTCATACCCTATGCAGGAACCATTGTGATTCCTCTCCTTTGTTGTAAGCCCTGATAGTCATACCACACACACACACACACACAGACACACAGGCAGAGTGTAACACTATAACAGCCACCAATGTCCTGACTCCACTCCACACACCATCACACCTAACCGTCAATCCACCACAATAAATACCACAACCATCAATCACCACAAATCCATCACCACAACCCACCCACACCTGACTAAAATCAATAACTGTCACCACACAACACGTCAATCACCACAACAAATCCACACTACAGCTACGTCAATCACCTAACCGTCACCCCACAACCAAATCACTCCACCTGACACCCACCACAACAGCAAACCACCACAACCAATCCACCATCAACCGTCATCCCACAAAGTCATCACCACAAACACCCAGTCACCCACCACAACCGTCACCCACCACAACCGTCACCCACCACAACCGTCCTCCTACAACCGTCCTCCACCACAACCGTCCTCCACCACCACTCCCAAAACAATCAACATGGGTATACCCAAACTTCACTGAAAATAACACCAAGATAATAAAAAAATATATCAGAAAAAATAACACATGGGAGGATGATAACACTATTTGAGTGGGCGGGTGGGAGGATGGGAGGTGGCGACCAGGGGATGGAGGGGGGGAGGGATAGTTGGTGGCGACAGTGGATGGAGTGGGGGGATTGGAGAAAGAGATGAGGAGTGGGGGAAATCAGGAGTGGGGAGAGAGAGAGGGCCTTATCTAAGCTGCCAGTCCACCCCACTCTGCTACGGATCAACCTTTTTGCACTCTGCCAATTTTTTTTCTCTTCTTCAATTCAGTTATCATAACAAGAGAGGAAGGGGCTTTTGGGTGACTCAAGCTCCTATACAGACAAAAATATTTCTTTAATGCGATAATTCAGTTCCCAAGAATTTAATACCTAATAACTTTTTTCTTCATTCAACACAAATAGGTTGATGGCAGGAGCTTAAGACTTTAGTATCCAGGTGGAGATTGTTTTGTTAAGATTCATTTATTCCAGACACTGACAGGAGGGCATATGATTTGGGGAATTTCCAAGATCATGAGGAGATTCATGATATCAAAGATTTCAAGGTTGGGGATAGATTTTATCATTGGGAGAAAGATTTATAGTTTTGAGGAAGATTTATGGGTTGGAGAAGATTTTATGGGTTTGGGAAGATTTTATGGGTTTAGGGAAGATTTTATGGGTTTGGGGAAGATTTACGGGTTGGGGATAGATTTTATAGGTTGGGATAGATATATGGGCTTGGGGAAGATTTATGGTGGTTAAAGATTTATGGGTTTAGGGAAAGATTTATATTTAAAGATTTTTATATTAAAGATTATTATGGGGAAGAAGATTTTATGGGTTTGTAAAGAATTTATGGGTTAAAGATTTTATGGGTCAGAGAGAAGATTTTATGGGTTTGTAAAGATTTTATGGGTTTAGGGAAGATTTTATGGTTGTAAAGATTTATGGTTAGATAGATTTATGGGTTTGGGAAGATTTTAGCTGCAGAAGATTTTATGGGTTGGGAGAAGATTTTATGGGCTTAGAAGAATTTTATGGGTTTGTAAGATTTATGGGTTGAGGGAAGATTTTATAATTAGGAAGATTATGGGTTTAAAGATTTTAAGGGTTAAAAGATTTTATGGTTTGGGGAAGATTTTATGGGTTGGGGATAGATTTATGGGTTTGGGAAGATTTCTATGGTCAGAAGATTTTATAGTTTGGGAGAGATTTTATGGGTTTAGAAGATTTATGGGTTTGGGAAAGATTTATGGGTTGGGGAAGATTTTTATGTTTGGGAAGATTTTATGGGTTTAGGAAGATTTAAGTTGGGGAAAATTTTATGGCTTGGGGGAAGATTTGGGTTGGGGATAGATTTTATGGTTTAGGGAAAGATTTCAAGGGTTTGGGGAAAGATTTTATGGGTTAGGGGATAGATTTTATGGGTTGGGGATAGATTATATGGGTTTGGGGAAAATTTTATGGGCTGGGGCAGATTTTATGGGCTGGGGCAGATTTTATGGGTTGGGGAAGATTTTATGGGCTGGGGCAGATTTTATGGGTTGGGGATAGATTTTATGGGTTGGGGATAGATTTTATGGGCTTGGGGAAGATTTTATGACTTGGGGAGGTCCATGAGATCGTCCCAAAACCATAGAGACAAACATAGATGAGAGACAAAGACATGGTTGAGAGACACATAGATGAGAGACAAAGCAAAGATATAGATTAGAGACAGAGATGAATAAGAGAGACAAAAGACACAAATAAAAGACACATGGAGGTCAATGAGATACATATAGAGAAGAGATAAAATCACAAGAAGGAAGACACATAGGTACACATCTGGGGTGAAATATGTGTACAAGAGAGAGACAGAGAATCTAGCAGCGGCCAACGATAAAAATATTGAAGAGTTAACCAGCAGTATTATTTACAACATTCAATATTTCCTTTTCATCCCCCAGTGTGTGTGTGGGGGGGGCAAGACACTTAGAATAAATCTACTCGTCCTAATCCTCGTTATAGTGGTTTAGGATTAGCGGGATTTACCTCGGTGTAAACCTCTCTGGTAAGAAAAGAGACGACGCCATAAAACTGGATTATATTTGACAGTAATTCTTTTCGTTATTCGTTTTTTTATTGATGCGTTAAACTTTAGGTGAAAAAAATAATGAAAGTGATTACGTCAAACATTAAAGAAATATAATGTTTTAAAAGCTTTCAAAGTCTCGACATTATGAAGAAAAATCATCGGTCTTTGAGGTTAGGCAGAGAGGGTGACGGCGAGGAGGTGGAGGACACGAGTGAGATATAACACATAGGAATTTTAGGTAGTTGTACTTACACGCCAACAGAGGTTACAAATACGGACTTTAAAACACCGACAGCGTATTTCTCACCTGTTCACACCTGTTAAAGCAATCAAAGACCTCTTGGTGTCAGTATAATAAACCTTCTTGAGAAAATACACTCACGACACCGAGTCAGTTCAGGTTCACAGTCGGGGAAGACTTCTAATACCTGACCTTCATCTTCTCCAGCCAGGTAAATGGAACAAACACCTGGGCATCAGAGTGAAGAAGCCAGAGTGATCACTTCTCACATAGGTCGAGCCTTTGATGCTTTCTGGCACAAAGGTTTGGTTCCTATGATGCAGAATTTAGGTACTGATGAAAAATTATTCTCATTTCTCAAGAGCCATCTGGTGAAAACAAGCTTCTCTGATGTACTGAGTGGTGTTGAGTCACAGTAAGATCCAGGTGGTGTTGAAGAGTCTCTGAGTAGTCTTGTGAAAACCCTCTTGTTGGGGATATTATTTTGACTAATACCCAAGCTCAGAGTCAAGCTGTGGGTATAGGGTATTCACTACTGTCTGCTTGTATGATTGTACAATAATTCTTACAAAAGGGAAAACAGGATTACTTAAATTTGGGAAGAACGTCTATTTTAACACAACAAGGTGGGGCTAAATGTCTGGCTGTCACTTTAGAACCATTAACATATAACTTCAACATAAATACTTCCTAATAACAGCTAAGACCAAACAAACAAGTCTCCCCTGCCACCTTCACAGAGTCTCCATTTTCTTTAAGCATGTCCCCGGGTGCTGCCAAGAGACACGCAATATATTTACTGTCCTGTAGGCGTCTCTGCAGAGGGAGGAGGACACAAATGACCTGACAAACACCCAGGACACGGAGAGACAGACGCTTAAGTGTAGTCTTATATCTGGGACACAGGTGAGCCTTCCACAGCAGGTACCAGAGTAAGTGTATATCGTATGTGCCATAGTAGGTGTCAGAGCATGTGTCCGTGTCCTTGCAGGTGTCAGTCATTAAGGAACGTGTTAAATGTAACAATTGGACACTCGCAGCAGGACCTAGGCAAGTGTTCACTCCAATGAATGATGTACACGTCAGTCCAGGTGTGAGTGAATGTATAGGGGCAGGTTTGACGCAATGACACAGATGTAGGGATAGATTTAACTATGACGCAGGGATAGGAGCAAGTTTGACTCAATAGCGCAGGGATAGGAAAAAGTTTGACTCTATGGACGCAGGTGTAGAAGCAGGTGTGACAATAACACAGGTATAGGAACAGCTATGACTCACCTTAATGATGGTGGCCGTGTCGTCCCTAAGCTTCAAGAGCTCAGTAAAGTCGAAGTGGCCATTACACTCGAAGCTCTGTGACCCGCTGCTTAACATGGACTTGATCCCGTCCTTCTGGCTCACCATCTCCAGCACGAACTGATCTCTCACGACCTGCGGGAGAGTGAGGGAGAGTGAGGGAGAGTGAGGGAGGGTGAGGGAGGGTGAGGGAGGGTGAGGGAGAGTGAGGGAGGGTGAGGGAGAGTGAGGGAGGGTGGAGGGGAGAGTGAGGGGAGTGAGGGAGGGTGAGGGTGAGGAGAGGAGGGGAGGGTGAGGGAGGGGAGGGTGAGGGAGGGGGAGGGAGGTGGGAGGGAGGGGTGGAGGAGGGAGGGGAGGGAGGGAGAGGAGAGGGAGATTCTGGGGTTACGTTGGAGAGATATAGAGAGAGAAGGAGTGAAGGAGAGAGAGAGAGAGAGAGAGAGAGAGAGAGAGAGAGAGAGAGAGAGAGAGAGAGAGAGTCTACCTGCAGCCCTTCGTACACTAGACGTCAAGAGCACGACATTTACAATGAAAAATCTGCTAATAAAACACACATACACAAACAAACAAACAAACACACACACACACACACACACACACACACACACACACAGAGAACATAATACCATGCACCTGATTTATATATTAATAAAACTAGCCTCACGTCCCTCTCATAACACTTACATACAACTCATCGTACAAATAAATTCTCGCTAACTGTGAAATTAAAAAAGAAAAAAAAAGTAAAAAAGTAATAAATTATTTTAAAATGTAACCGTGATGAAACAGAGGTCAAGGAATATTAGACGCAAACTTGGGGAAAATAGCGTTAAGTATAGAGGAATTATATCTTCAAGCTCTTAAAACTTATATGTGAAGCTTATCCTATTGAGGATGTGATTTAAGCTGGAGAACGTTCAGGATTCATGGTTTAAATAATGATAATAATAATGATAATAATAATAATAATACAATATTCACCTCTGTTAAATAATAATAATAATAATAATAATAATAATAATAATACACATTCACTTCTGTTCACTACACACACACACACACCCTTGACCTATGTTGACCTTAATATGACCTTACCTTATCTGGTAATGTGAACTCAAAGCCCAGGTCAGCAATGTTGTGTTCGGACATGTCATAACCGTGTTCCTTGAAGATGGTGATTTTCCCCAGCCTCTGCTTCTCCAAGTTACGGAACTGTTAACATAAAAAGTAACGGTGAGTTAGTGCTACTGTGACGTGTGTTAGGTTAGGTTAGGTTAGGTTAGGTTAGGTTGGGCTGGGCTGGGTTGGGTTGGTTATTTTTCTGGTTGAATTAAGCTGGGGTCTAATCTTCAGGTGATCCGACTGTTGTTACGAAGTATCTTAAATATTACAAGAAACTCAATTAGGTTCAGTGAGTCGGGAAATTGGGATATTATTCGACTAAGAGAGTTTCGAGGGTTCGACCAAGAGTCTCAACCCATTTCCCACTCTCTCAACCCATTTCCCACTCTCTCGACCCATTTCCCACTCTCTCAACCCATTTCCCACTCTCTCGACCCATTTCCCACTCTCTCGACCCATTTCCCACTCTCTCGACCCATTTCCCACTCTCTCGACCCATTTCCCACTCTCTCGACCCATTTCCTACTCTCTCGACCCTTCAACTCGACACATGACTTCTGAAAGCACGAGACGTAACTTGGAGTAAGCCCAAAGCTCCATCTTACAACACAAACGCACGACACTCCAGTGCAAATTGAAATCATCTAACAACCAATTAGATTTGAGACTCGCCCCCACCCCCCCCTCAACCCTTACTTGAGGAGTAACCAATCAGAGGTCAGCGTTCAGGGAGTTCAGGGGATTCTGGGTGCTATATAGTGGTCATTAAAATCTCGGCAACCTTTTCTACCTTGAAGTCGGGTAAGAAGACGCCACAAGGTCGCTCCATGATTCATCTTTATAATGAACTGAAGGCGAGATGCTGTATGTTAACAAATGAGGGGGGGTCTCATTACCACACACCCACACCTACGCATACATACACACACACCTGCACACACACACCTGCACACACACACACACACACACACACGCGACAGAGTTCCTGGAATACAACTATTATCAGTCCTGGAGTTAAAAGCATCACTCAGGCGATTGTACACTTACATTCTGAGCTTCACAAGACGTACAACCACCCCAGACCTGACCTGACCTAACCTAACCTAACCTAACCTACCCTAACCTGCCTCGCCTCCTCAGCTCAGTATGCAGAGTTATTTGATGTTTGATGTAGCATATAATGAGGTAACGTTACCTTGGTGGCTTAGGAGTAAACTGTAGATTATTTCCAGCCTCTGAGTTTTCTATGATAAGGCGGTTTATTATGGAGTTAAGGTATTTCTCTGCTCTGGTAATAACTGCAAGTGGGATATGGCAATACTGGCCACACACACACACACACACACACACACACACACACCACATTACTTATGCCTCAAACATCATCTCTGAGTAACTTCCTTCCACCGAGTATAATTTCATGAATATTCTACCTTCTGGAGAGAACACAACCTCTGACATTTAGACTAACTTGTTTCTTGTGTGTGTGTGTGTGTGTGTGTAGAGTACAGGTTATGAAAGTTAGATGACTCGGGGAAACTTGAGAAAAAAAAACTGTGGCGGGTGTGTTTTTTGTGTCGGTGTCTTAGTTAGCAGTGACCCGGGGCTGTGTGTGAGAGAGAGAGAGAGAGAGAGAGAGAGAGATTCAGTACATCTCTACCACCTGTCATATGAATTACGTCAACATAAAACTAGATCAAAGACGAGGTAGAAGGAGGACCCGTTGCTGGATGGGACAATAACCTTCAGACGCCGCCACCTGCTGTTCTTCTGTTAAGTTAAACATATCTAAGACGATTCTGACGTCAATTGCTAATCAATGGCTTCGAGTGACGCAACACCAACAAGCATTACCTCATCACCGTAGTGTAACCCCCAAAAAATGAATCATCAGGTAAATGGTTTAAATTATTTTAGGGATTATTTAAATGAATAATTAAAAAGATCTCCCGATTATATTATGAGTGTTTGTGAGTCGTTTATCGTTTTGAGTGTGTGAGTTAATTTACCTCAGGGGAGATGTATGTCAAGGTGTTTAATAAGGTCATCATCAGGGGTCAGGTTTACCTCCTCCTCCTCATTACTGAAGGTCATACTCGTAGCTGTAGTCGAGTACTGGAGGTCACTATCACCACTACAACCACTACCATGACCTTCACCACCCACACTAATCATCACCACCTGTCTACTCTTGGAGGGAGGGAGGGTCATAGATGGTGCCAGGCGGAGAGCATGTCAACAAGAGTGTGTTTCAGGACGATTCGGTCAAGTCTGAAACCCAATACCGAATCCCCTAACTTTGAATTCCGAACTTCAAACTCCCATTTCGGAATTTCATGCTTGGGGTTTGGTGTTCGTGATTCGGGGTTTGGTGCTCGGAATTCGGGGTTTGATGTTCGGAATTCGGGGTTTGGTGTTCGGAATTCGGGGATTCGGATTTTGGGATTCGGTATAGAAGTTTCCGACGTCAGGGATGAGAACGCATCATGGTGGGGCGGGTTGGGTCGATTCACATATTCATACGGCATCAAACGCCACTGCAATATCCCGTTGTAGCAACTTTATTTATCAGGTTTGCCCAGCCAGTGAGTCGGAAGTGTAAACTGGGGCAGCAAACACTCGCCCAGCAGGAAATGAGCTCCCAGTGTCTTGGCCAAACACAATGGCGATAGACGCGTTTAATTAAACAAACCCATCGACCTGGTACGGAGAAGTGTCGGCACGCTGGCAGGCAGAGGGCGCTGAAACGTTGGCAGGGTGTGTAAACGTTGGTAGTGTGTATAATCGTTGGCAGGGCGTTGAAACGTTGGCAGGGTGTAGAAAGGTTGGCAGGGTGTAGACACATTGGGAGGGTGTAGAAACGTTGGCAAGGTGTAGAAAAGTTGGCAAGGTGTAGAGAGGTTGGCAGGATGTAGAAACGTTATCCAATACACGCTAACTCTGCTCCTTGTCACACCATCTGCTCTGAGCTACTACCATCATCTCCTGTCTCTCCTTTTCTTCTTTGGCCTCGTGCTCACTTCTCTATTTCCCGTCCTTTCTACCTCAATGCTTCATTCTTCTTTGTTTTTGTCTCCTTTCCTTCATTTCTGTCTCTCTCTCTCTCTCTCTGTTCCCGTCTATTCTCCACCCACGTCCTCCTCTTCCTCTAATCTTATATTCCCTTTCCTTTTTCCTTTCCTTCCTTAACCCGTTTCTCCTTTCCTTCATCTATTATTTCCCTCTTTTCATCCTCTACCCTTTTTTCCCGGCAGATAATCAGACCCGAGGCAAACTTTTCTTTATATAAAAAAAGTAGGAAGAGAAAAGTTTCCTCAGATCCGACTCAGAAGCGTAGGAGTGTGAGGGGACCCACCGGGGAGAAGGGGTGCTAGTGTTGGGGTGTGCTGGGGTGAAGAGGGCCCAGCAGGGGAGAAGGGGTGTAAGTGTAGGGGTGTGTGGGGTGAAGGAGGCCCAGCAGGGGAGAGGAGGGTGTGAGGGGCGAAGAATGACATTCCCAGGGAAAGGAATGTGGGATAAGGATGTGTTGGGGATGTGTGACGCTCCAGTTAACACAGGTGTGTGGGGAGGAATGTGGCTTAGAGGTGTGTGGGGAGATGTATAACCTAACAATAGCAATAATCTCCCTCAGATTTCATGAAAAGTTCCTCATAACCTAACCTAACCTAACTAAAATCTTTCAAAACCATCCTGTTAAACGTGGTACGTGTCCTTGTTTGAACATAAAAAACAAAAACTTTCATTGTAATCCCAGCTATTCGTGTCCCTCCCCACAAAACGCTCTCACTCACCAACGTTGCTTTTCCACAGTTGTCGAAATAGGAACAACAGTTGCTTACAAATTTCAGCAAATGTTCGAAAACCCTGAAGCCAACAGTTGACAATATTGACAGAAGCGGCCGTTTTCACACAGCCGTATCGAGGACCAACAGTTATTGTGATAGTTGTGGAAGACAGACCAACTTGGTTCAGGCCCGTTCCCTGTCAGATATGTTCAGATATATGAGAGAAAGTCTTACCATCCATACCTGACCCTGAGAGCCATGTGTTTTTGGTGCTCAATGTCAGATGTATAAGGAGAGTCAGGTGTATAGTACCTCTGATACCTAATACTTAAAGAGCCATGGTATCAGGCGGTCGAGAGGCCTTAATTAACCGCACACCAATGGAACTTGTATCTAATAAAGTTGGTTTTATATCGTACGGAGAGAGAGAGAGAGAGAGAGAGAGAGAGAGAGAGAGAGAGAGAGAGAATCCTCACATTGTCAGGAAGTCATAAGGATGTGGTGCTGTTTACAAGGGAGAAAATTAATTATATTCTGAGGAAAAAATATTGGACAAAGGAGGAAAAGGAGCAGGAAGTGTAGAGGAAGAAGGGGAGGAAGAAGAGGTGGAGAAGGAGGAGGACAAGAAGAAGAAGAAGAAGAAGAGGAGGAGGAGGAGGAGGAAGAGGAGGATAAGAAGAAGATAAGGAGGAGGAAGAGGAAGAGGTTGTCCAAAGAGGAGACATAGGAGGAGGCAGGTCGTCCTAACACCAGACACCTCATGTGGTAAGTTACACACTGAGTAAATAAGAGAAGCTACCTACAGTGTGTGTGTGTGTGTGTGTGTGTGTGTGTGTGTGTGTGTGTGTGTGTGTGTGTGTGAGGACTCGGTGTTTAACTCAGGTCAAGTTATTTCATAATTTTTAGCGACATTTAAATAACACCCGAACATCCATTTAGTGTAGAGGCTTTTAATGGCAACTGAAAACCTTATATGGCAACAACACAACACCGCAATACAAGTACTAAATGACAACTGATCAGCCCTAATAATAAAGTCATATATGGCAACTGTGATACTCATTAACCCAGGTCTTTTATGGCAACTTAAACCCTGGTTAATGGGACACCCTAAATGGCACCTAAACATCGCATAAAAGAACCTCCCCCTAAAAAAAATAATCGACCCAAACTTCACTAATGGAACCTTTAAACAGCTAATGGGAATCTCTTAATTGAAGGTCCACCCCGCCCCCCCACCCCTTCTCTCCCCTCCTCCCACAAACGACTAATGAACACCCTCTTAATGGAGACGAGTTAATTGACCACGACTTAAGGAACTTTTTTTCTTTTTACAAGTTTTCGTTCCCTGTCTTTTTTATTAAGATACACTCGTTGTGGCATCCAATTGCTTTTAATTAGGCCATTTAAATGTTCGCCTAATTAGTGTTAATTGGCCCTCACACAGTCCTGGGATCGTCGTAGCATCGTGCTGATTAAAAGTGACGTGAGATGCCCTTTATACACGGAGGAAAAATACTTATACTTTATACACGGAGGAAAAATACTTTTACTTTTACTCTCTTTCATATCGAGACATTACCAACAGGGGAGTAAATATCCAACAGGTTAGGCTTGGTTAGGCTTGGTTAGGTTTGGTTAGGTTTGGTTAGGTTAGGTTAGGTTAGGTTTGATTAGGTTTGGTTAGGTGACCAGGAGGGAGGAATGTCTTCTCTTGAGGTTTCTGTACCAAGTTTTGTATCTTTTATATATATATATATATATATATATTTTTTTTTTGAGGAAGTAAGTTAGGGATGCAGGCAAGACACTCGTACCAAGTTTCCTGAACACGGCTGCCTGAGAGAGCTGTGATGTTGCCTGAGATTTACTTCCTCCTTCTCCTCCTGCCCTCCATTCCTCACACCTCCCCCCCTTCCTCCTCCTACCCCCCTTCCTCACCCCTCCCCTACTTCCTCCTCCCTACCCCCCTTCCTCACCCCTCCCTCCTTCCTCCTCCTACCCCCCCTTCCTCACCCCTCCCCCAAATGGATGGTGAGGTCTGAGGCGACTGATTCTAAGACTGCTTATTCCTTCTATTGATTCCTCTTTTTTTATTCTTCCTTCCTTTTTCTCCCCCTCTTTCATTCTTCTTCTCATTTTCTTCCTTCTCCCTCCTCATCCTCTTCTTCCCTCACCATCTCTCTCTCTCTCTCTCTCTCACACATATTGTTTTTCTCACTGTTATTGTCTTCTTGTGCCTTCCTAGTCCCCCTGTCTCCATACCCAAGGTAAGCCTCTGCATGTATATTCACGTTCATATTTATGTAGGAACGTGTCTGTCTGTCTGTCTGTCTGTCTGTCTGTCTGTTTGTATGTAGGATCCTGGTCGTAGTGATTATTTTAAACATTCTTCTACGATCAATAATAATAATAATAATAATAATAATAAACTAATAATAATAAACTACTACTACTACTACTACTAGTACTATTACTACTACTTTACATCGTGTTGCCTAATAGCTACATTACAACATAGTATATTACAGCGTTAACTAAACTAAATCATTCCCCCTCACCACACCACACACAGGCGGGAGGGCGCCCCGGCTCCCCCAACTAGTGACTGCTTTCAATATTTTATGGGAATTACTTTTAATACAGAAATTACAAAGGTAAAAACATTTTCCATTAGCAAATTCCCTCCCCCTGTCCCCCCTCCTCCCCCCACCCGCCCCCTTCCCTCCCTCCATAAATCCGTATTGCAGAGGCATTTGACAAATGACATTTATTTCTTACCAATTTATATGTGCAATTGACGCCACGTATAAATGATGTATTCTAAATGTAAAATGATCAGAGGGGTGGGGTTGGGTGGGGTTGGGTGGGGTTGGATGGGGTGGGGTTGGGTGAGAGAGGGGGGTTGGGGAGGGTAGGGGGAGGGTAGGAGAGTATCCATGTCCCCATCAAATATATGGTTGAATACCCGAGCATGAAACAGTTAATATGAGTCTGTATCACTGGCTCTCATAAAACACAAAATGATAATACAGCCGTAAATAATAAATAAAAAACTAAAAAAAATTACTTTAAACGAAAAATGTTGTTCCACGATGCATTGGGACGACAGTATACCATATAACAAGTGTTCGTTATATACAAGGACACACACACACACACACACACACACACACACACACACACACACACACACTCACTGGCCGGATTGACTCTACACCACCTTCACTTCCCAAGCTGTTAACTTCAAGTAGTGGAAGCCATTCACAACTGGGACGACTGTAAGTACCTTGGGATTGAACCAGAGGCCCTTAGGACTTGAGACGAGCATTGTATCCACTCAGCCACCGCACCCCCCTCCCCACCCACAAGGCTATTTGAGGTTGAAAGATCGGATGTGATTTATTCTTTTATCTAGATATATATATATTTTTATTATTAGATGAGGGTTATTAAAAGACTGGGTGAATGGTCGTTAACAGTTCCTACAGATGATGCAACAATAATAAAAAAACAACAACAGTAACAAAAACAACCAGAACAAGAACAACAATATTATCAACAATAATAATATCTACAACAAAGACAACAACAAAAACAACAAGAATTATAACACTCTTCATCAACAACACCAACGACAAAGACAAGTTTTCCTTCAATACATAACAACCTCCGTCTTGAGGTTATTATTTGCATGTCTTAATTACTTCTCTTCATTTTCTCTGTATTTCGTTTACTTTTATTTCGCATGGCTCACACACACACACACACACACACACACACACACACACACACACACACACACACACACACACACACACACACACACACACACACACACGATCACATGTAAATACTCATTTTACATAAAGCTTTTAATAGGTTATGGAACACCTGGCGTCTGACCTTTGACCTTCTGACTCAGGTGTGTGTGTGTGTGTGTGTGTGTGTGTGTGTGTGTGTGTGTTCAAAATTCTCCTCAGATAATATGAATTTCTTACGATTTCATAATGAGTTTTAACAGCACGAGACTCAACACACACCTTGAGAATGTCACCTGCAAGAACCCCCCCCCCCTCCAACACCTAAAGACTATCGTGTTAAATATTGAGATCACTACCTGCAATGTCAATATACAGTTCCCGTCACTAGTGCGTTTACAGGGGGTCGTCAGGTTCTGTGCAGTGTGGCAGCCTTGTGTTTGTTTACATTCGACAGAAGGAAACAAGCAATGCTAAATATACTATGGAACCAAAGGAAAACAATATTAAAAAAAATATAAGAAAGATAATGATTTGTGGAATGTTTTTATGACGAGCCCCTGTAAACGCACAAGTGAAGGAGACTGTACATCGCTTGTATACTCGCCCTGTCTATGTATATTATCTGTCAGGCACCAAGCCAAAATGTGTGGCACCAATGTAGTGTGAGAGTGAGGCACCAAGCTATAATGTATGTGGCACCAAGGTACAACATATGTGGCATCAAATCCTATCGTTTCAGACAGTCACCAAGCAACAGACTGAGCACGGCTGTACATTACCTGGTGAACTAACTTGATTTTCAGTGTGCCGGGAGGAGCGCCGCCGATCGCCACCTGTGAAGAAGAAAACGGGAAGTGGAAGTAACGGGAGGTAGTTAACAGGCAACAATGTTATTCAAGCGGTCATCTCAGGAGGTCAAAGGTTACATGATATTGATTTTGAGCTGTGTGTGTGTGTGTGTGTGTGTGTGTGTGTGACGTTGCTAATGTATACACTATTAACATCTCCTATACACACACAGACACACCATAAACGTGTCCTATAGTGAGTGTTATGAAGTGTTAACACACGACCAGCGCCTCACCTTCCTGACGTGTAGTTGAAAAGCAGAGCCAAGCGCCGCCTTCTTCAGGTCAGGAGGCACAGGTTCTATGATACACGCTGGAGGGTCCCCCCGGAACATGGAGCCATTCCTGCTGAAGTTCTCGCCGAAGGTCTGGGCCCAGAGGCGTCGCGTAGACCCGTCCGAGGAGGTCAATTTGGACCCCGGCGACCGATCGTTCACAGAGTCGTCATGGTTAAGCGTCTTGCCCAGGACTCTTTGTGTGTCCTTCTGGTACTTTTTAGGGTGAACCTGACCAGGGAGGACAGGGAGATGAAGAGTGATTAACCTAGCCAGGAAGAGGATGATTAGTGGTTAACCTGACCAGGGAGGACAGGGAGACGATGATTAGTGGTTAATCTGACCAGGGAGGACAGGGAGACGATGATTAGTGGTTAACCTGACCAGGGAGGACAGGGAGACGATGATTAGTGGTTAACCTGCAGGGAGGACAGGGAGACGATGATTAGTGGATTAGTGGTTAACCTGGACCTGAGCAGGAGGACAGGGAGACGATGATTAGTGGTTAACCTGAGGACAGGAGACGATGATTAGTGGTTAACCTGAGCAGGAGGACAGGAGACGATGATTAGTGGTTAACCTGACCAGGGGAGGACAGGGAGACGATGAGGACAGGGAGACGAGATTAGTGGTTAACCTGACCAGGGAGGACAGGATGATTAGTGGTTAACTGACCAGGGAGGACAGGAGACGATGATTAGTGGTTAACCTGACCCAGGAGACGATAACCTGACAGGGAGGGAGGAGCCGATGATTAGTGGTTCTGACCAGGGAGGACAGGGAGACGATGATTAGTGGTTAACCTAACCAGGGAGACGATAATTAGTGGTCCAAGACGTCAACATCACCATTACTATTATTATTATTATTATTATTATTATTATTATTATTATTATTATTATTATTATTATATTATTATAATTACTGTTATTATTATTACTACTACTATCATTTATATTATCAACAAACACTTCCCTCTAATCCTGGCAGCCAAATATTGTTCCCGACTTCGAGTTAAATTCAATTTGGGTTTTAAAAAAAATATCACACACATTTGTCATAATAGTAATGATTATCAATCAGTATGCAAATGAGGAATCACCGACCTTTGACTTGATTTCCACAAATTCATATGTTAACACAGAGAACAAGTCAACAGAGAGCCTCGCTGTTAAACCATAAATTATTAACAACTGACATTAAATGTTGAATATATTAAAAGGTTAAATCATTTCAACATAGGTGTTATCTTTTGCCGTGATTTTATCTTGCCTCCCAAAAAATGATGAAATATTGTGAGTTTGAGCAGTCCAGAAATGTGGTTTAAAAAGATAGATAAACAAAAATAACCTAGAACGTAAAAATAAAAAAGCAGAATTAAATAAAATATCCACAAACGATCCTCAATATTTACTTTTTTAACTTTTATTATCGTTAGTATTTTATTGTAACTTTGGTGAAGGAAAAAACAAAAAACAAAATTAAAACAGTCCACAAAAATATAAAACACCGAAAACCAATTCTAATAAAAGCACTATTGTCATCACATCTAAAACACATTATATTTTCTTCACTTAAACCAAACAAAACGATAAATTAAACTTAAAAAAAATAAACCCGAGTTAGATTATTGATCGAGTGTGAACTAAAGCTCTGGGACTTGTCTAATTACCATATTAATTGAAAGCCACAGGGAAAAAAATATCCCCGTAAAAAAAAACAGGTGTGGAAAATTGTTTTTTTTTTCTCCTAGCGTTTCGGGAAAAAAATAAATTACTCTTGAAATATATAAAAACAAAATAAAAAAAAACACTCGCTTTAACTCGATAAATAAACTGATATATTCTATGTTAATTTACCACAAGTTGTTGAATTTGTTGGATGTTAATTTTTTTTTAATAAATTTGGTGTATTTTATTATCTAGTTTAGCGTAAAAATCTATGTTTGTTCGTGGATAATGAGGGCTAGCCAGTGCTGTTGGTGACTTGTCCGGTCTTCCTGGGCTCAACTTTGACAGGCGCGTTAGATATTACGTCAACTATGGGCGTATAGTTGATATATTGGCGGCAGGTTCTATACTTAAAACAAAGGTGACAATGAGAGGGGTGGAGAGGGGTGGTGAGTGAGAGGGATGTCGAAGGGGAGAGAGACAGAGGTAAGAAAAGTAAGAGGGGTGATGAAAGTGAGTGGTGTTTAGTGTTAGAGGGGTAGTGAGAGGGATGATGAGTATTAGACTCATAAGGTGAATATGAGAGGGGTAGCGAGAGGGATAAATGAGCTTTCAAAGGGTGGTGAAACGGATGGTGAATACGAGAGGGATAGTAAATATGATTGGGATGATGTGAGTGGGTTAGTGAGTGGGGCCAATCAACAAAAGCAGCTTAGGTACCATATGTGCGTGCCAGATAATATCCATATCGTAGCATGGGACGAGGAACTCCGCCGGGTGGGTCGACTTGAGGTAAATAAACTTCTTGTATCGCTCCACCGCCTCCTTCAGGAATGGCTTCGTCAGGCAGTGTGGCAGAGAAACCTAGAGAGAGAGAGAGAGAGAGAGAGAGAGAGAGAGAGAGAGAGAGAATTAGACTGGGTTAGTATTGGCGTATCATAGAAGTTATAACAATGACGACACACACACACACACACACACACACACACACACACACACACACACACACACACACAACATACGAAGAACATAAGAAAATAAGGAGTTTGCAATAGGCCGGTTGGCCTGTGCATGGCAGCTCCTGTCGAGTTACTACCACTCTCTATCATCCATGAATCTATCTAGGAAGAACATAAGAAAATAAGGAGTCTGCAATAGGCCGGTTGGCCTGTGCATGGCAGCTCCTGTCGAGAGTTATTACCACTCTCTATCATCCATGAATCTATCTAGCCTCCTACTTGAATCCGTTGCTCCGAGTCCTATCCTGCTCGGATATTATAAGAACTTTATCTATATCCCCTTTATTGATTCCTTTCACCCACTTAAATACTTCTTTCATATCTCCCCGCACTCTTCGTCTTTCTAGGGAATGCAAGTTAAGTTTCTTTAACCTTTCCTGATATGGAAGGTTTCTAAGTCCCGGAATCATTTTTGTCATTCTTCGCTTCGGTGGAAGGAATTTACTCAGAGATGATGTTTGAGGCATAAGTAATGTGGTGTGTGTGTGTGTGTGTGTGTGTGTGTGTGTGTGTGTGTGTGTGATAGAGAGAAGATCCTTATTGATGAACTAAAAACAACACAAGTGCCTCAGATATCTTAAATCCGTTAGATGTAACTTGAGGGAAAAGAGTGACCCCCCCACCCTGACAAAGACTTACCTGACGAAAACTTACCTGATGAAGATTCACCTGACGAAGACTCACCTGACAAAGACTCACCTTACAAGGACTCACCTGAAAAAGACTCACCTGACGAAGACTCACCTGACAAAGACTCACCTTACAAGGACTCACCTGAAAAAGACTCACCTGACAAGGACTCACCTGACAAAGACTCACCTGACGAAAACTTACCTGGTAATAGAACATACTCTGTCTGGACACGGCCGCCTCGAGGTCGTAACTGATGAGAGAGGTGTACTGGGATAGTGCCACCGGCTGAGACCCGTCTAGGATCACGTCGAAGGGCTCGTCAGGGTACATCTCCATCCATAGCTTTCGAGTCCGTTTGTGTGCTTTCTTCAGCGCCTACGGGAGATGATGAAGACGATCTTTGAGGTTAAGTGTGGCATATATGGGAGATAGAGAGAGAGAGAGAGAGAGAGAGAGAGAGAGAGAGAGAGAGAGAGAGAGAGAGAGAGAGAGAGATTGTTTACGAGAAATTACCAAGAGGCAAACATGGAAATATCCAATTACAACAACAATAAAAAAATCGAGTGATGAAAACACGAGAATATAAATTTTACGCCAAATATTTTTCTCTTACTATAAATAAATTTTGTATCAGTTAAGGTTTTTGGAAGCCCAAGTAAAACACCATTAATGAAATATTCAAATTGTATTGTTAAAAAAAAGAAAAAGAACGACAACTGAAGTGAGGAAATGGCGTAGAGAAAATAGAAAAGTGATTTAGACATTTTCGTGTTTGAGTCTTATAGTTTTGCCGGTAGTTATGCTTTTAGTTGTTAAAGATATTAGTGTGGTGCCGTTATAACATAGGCGTGGGCGTCCCTTTTATTACATTGTATGACCGCAGGACAAACAAGTTCTCTCCACTGAAAACATTTATTCACTCAATCGCTTTAGGACACAAAACAGTGACGAAAGAATAAGACAAAATTAACTAATACAAAAATACATACATACATACATACATACATACATACATACATACATACATACAGCATAAACGAAATGGTAATAATAGATTTTTGTTCACATGTAGAGGGAAGGAACACACCGTGGGTATATACTCAGACCTCCATACTAGATTCTAAAGTCCATTATATATATAGGATCTGTTAGATTTTGTTTTGTTTGAATCACATATAAAACATTAAAAGAGTGTTATGGTGCTCCAGTATTGGCTTAACTACCAGAGTGAAAAACTAAATTGTTGTTACAGATATTAAGTCACTAAAAAAAATATCTATGCAAAATTGTGTTGAAAAAATATGACACAATGGACGAAGGATTTTGACACCCCTATCGAGACAACAGGAGTCGTAGTGTTCATTATGGAATTCATCGATCACCCCAAGTACAGATAGTTTTTTGTGACTGTACACCTTGAAATATTTACAGGAAAAAAAATCTTCTTATATTCTTATTAAATATTTTATCACGGTTTAGTTATGAGAAATTTGCATCCAGATTACCATATGAATATTTAGATTGTTATTACAAGAAACTGACGGATTTGGTGATAAAATTATATACCATAGAGGTTTAATGCTACATAATGCAGTGGGATATTCGACCTTAGGACACGCTGAGGTGGTTGTTGTGGTGTAGAAGGCTCAACATATGTGACCCAACACCAAACTGACTGACAGACAGACACTTAGCTTAGCCTTCCGGAGGGACTATGAGGTTGAAGGTGTGATGCTTATTTACATACCATTAATAACTGGCATGTGAACGATTACAATCTCATAATATATTCCAAAATAATAAATAAATTTCTCCTCGTCTTAAGAGAAAAAGAAACTCAATTATCTCTTAACATGATCAAGGGAGACAAAAAAGACCTCTAATATGACCAAGGGAGAGAAAAAAGGTTATTAAATCCACCGGTTTGCTTCACTTCTCTCATATTACAGGAAAAAAAGTTCTAAGAATCCCCTGATTTTTTTATTTTCCCCTCGGATCTCTTGTTTCTCCTTCAAGTACTACTCCCCCTCCCCCCCCATCTCCTACACGGCGCAGCAGCCACGAATAGTTATTGGACAAAAACAACTCAACAAGGAGGGAATGTAAGCTGCGTCTGCCTCATAATTAAACTAAAAAAAAATCAATTTGTGTTGTAGAAAGAGAATGGCAGACTTTTAATCACCAACTCGATCTAATGTTGCCAAGTCTCTACCTCTACCCTCCCATACACCACCTACAACCCTCCAACTCTCTCTCCTTCCCTATTGAATTCCTTTTGACTACAACTGTATGCATCAACCTTCATAAAAATTGACAAAACGTGAATGAATTAATAAATCGATTTACATAGGTATATGATTGTTGATGTGTATACACGCTAAGGTCTGTCTGTGAAATGACCCAGATCTTGAAGTGGTCGATGTGCACAAAGGTGATCCCGTAACATAATGTAGATGAAGAAAAATGATAACTTTATGAATAAGTGATGTACAGAGACAGGTGTTCCGCTCGAGGACACACCTGGTAACGAGGGCCTGTCATGTGTGAGATCTGTACTAGTTTGAAGACGATACTCCCAAGTGGATCAATGACTCTTAACCCCGTGATAATGACTAGTGACCCCGTGATAATGACTCGTGACCCCGTGATAATGACCCTTAACCCCGTGATAATGACCCTTAACCCCGTGATAATGACTCGTGACCCCGTGATAATGACTCGTGACCCCGTGATAATGACTCGTGACCCCGTGATAATGACTCTTGATCCCGTGACAATGACCCTTAACCCCGAAATAATGACCCTTAAAGTGATGTTTTATCTAGGATGATCAACACCTCGACGTTACCTCATCCTAGGAATAAAAATTACTACGACGATAATAAACTTTCTGTATTTTATAATAAAAAAACCCATTAAAATAAAGTATGAAACTCTGCGAATCTTACTTTCCACAATTAAAGATAAGAGTTATTTTTAAAGATATGAAAGATATTATGTACGTATTACAGTGTTTTGATAAATAAATGAAAGAATAACAATTTCATACGACCAGTGAATCCCCCAAATCGATGCTACACTGATGATGTTATGTGACTTATTAATAATTGAGTGGCCCAATAGGTAGAGAGGAGTGACGTCATTCTGCATACAAAGGGCAATCAATACCTGACTCACTCACTTCCCAACTCTGGTCCCACCTGCCTGCCTGACTCACTATATTGTGTTGGGTCACTATATTGTGGTGTTGTCACTATATTTGAGACACTACAGGTCTACTGAGGTGCGTTACAATATTGCTCTTCAATGTATGGTGTTACGTCACCATACAGTGCCTCTCATCATACACAACTCCCTCACTATAGAGTACAGCACATCGCACCAGACAGTATCTCACCATAAAGTACCTCTCACCACACACATACACAGCTTCCTCACCTATAATGCCACCTCACCATACACCCCCCCTCCCCCGTTCACAATTCGGCCTCAATCCTTTCCATACAGTGTCGCCGGCCCACACGGTGAGGCAGGTGCATTGTGCTGGGAGCCGGGTTACCTAGATATTGGCCGGGACCACCGCGCCACACACTACATCACCACTATATTGGTTCCGGAGTATAACGTATCGCTCTTACAGTATGCCGCCGGCTCAAGGTAGGCGTTCCTAACCTTCCCTCCTCTCTCCTCTTCCTCTCCCCCCTTTCTCCTTCTCCCTCTCCCCCTTCTCCACTCTCTCCAACCCCTCTTCTCCTCCCCCTCTCCCCTCTCACTCTCTCCCCCGTCCCCCCCTCTCTCTCCCCATCTCCTCTCAGTAATGTAGATCTTCGTTATGGGAACATTTCACGAGCACTGAGCCTTCAATACCAAGATTCTTTGCCTTAAATCCCTTTTCAACGAGGAACATTTAATTACAGAAAACCTTATTAGGAGGGGAAACTATATTATCCATAACGTGATATCCTCATGTAAAAGGAAACACCCCTCTGGTTATATCTTATTATCCATGGTTATTATCCACCTTTATCCAGAAGAGTTTTACCCACCGTCCATCCTACCCACCCCCGTCCTCCCTATACACAACACCTCCCGCTCGTCTCCCCGCCCACAGTATCGTTAGAGGCAGGGCTATGAAGCGCCTATTCTCCCCCCCCACGCATATCTAGTCTCCCTCCCTTGTTTTTAAGACATAGTCGCTGTTATTACAGTTCCTCACTATTAAGCTGCATCGAGATAACCTGCTGTAGCCATTACCCCGCCGCTGCTCACCTGTAACGCCTCTCACCATCGTTGCCTGTATTGTTATGTTCCTTTGGCTTATTGTTGATGTGTACTCTTAATGCAAGTTACTGAACTGGTCGATGTTCTTCATGGATGTTATTAAATGTTACTTAGCTGATCTGAAATCCTAAGAGACGTTATTTGATTGGTTGGAGATCCTAATTAATATTACTCATTGGATGGTAATCTTAAATGACTTTAGTTAATTAGTTACTTTTCTAGTTAAGGAAGATTATCGGGTGTTACTTTACTAGTCAGGAACCTTTAAACGTGACTTTATTTGCCAGGTAACAGATTGGTAGTTACTTTACTGCTCCGGGAACCTTAATGAACGCACATATCGTAAAGGCATAAGATCTTAAAATGATGGTCTTGGCTTCAGAGTCTTACAAGATTCATAAAGCATTACTCTTCTTCCTCTGGGATAACAGAACACATAGTCACGCCAGAGATCCAATTTAATACCGACACTAATTATGATGAACGTTCATATACCGGATCTTAAAGGTGGAGGCTTAGTCCGTTAGTCCGTTACCGAAGAGCTCCCGAGATTTAAAATTTTGAAGAGAACTGACGTGAGAACATATCTAACCGATATATACCTACGGAAAACATTTGAAATATGAATGGTATTATTATTATTATTATTATTATTATTATTATTAAAGCAGTGGTATTAGTACGGGGCCGAGTCTTATTTTTGGCTTTAGATCTTGAACTATGGCTTGTGTGGCTCGTCTGAAGTACTGTGGGAGATGTTACACTGTTACACCATTATACTGTCACACTATTACCCTATTACACTGCTACACGATTACACTGTCTTATGAAGTAATTGTGTCAGTAGGTAGAGCACTGTAGTGACCTCGAACGTGATTAACTTAAATGAAACAACAATTCTCTTTACAGGACGGTGAGGGGATAGGAACCTACTGAGCCTTATATAGTTAATGGTATTTGATGTTCTTGGGTCTGTAGCGTCATGAGGGGCTGGGCGGGCGTCATGAGGGGCTGGGCGTCATGAGGGGCTGGGTGGGCGTCATGAGGAGCCGACCGGGCGTCTAGGTACATTACGACTGTGTCAAAAATGTGTTCTCATCTCCGGTTTATAATTTTCCGTAATAACTTTTAATACCGTGGCGAGACCCATAGGGAAAAAAAATAATGCATCTCATCTGTGGACTTGGGGACGCAGGCAGACAGCAACATGACATCATTATCAGACACAGACAGACAGACAGACAGAGACATAAACACAGACACACAGACACAATCTCCTCTTTCTTATCGTTTTTCCATCCCTGACATGAATTTTTGGAAACATATGTGAGCCGTGAGTGTTGGTTAGGTTAGGTTAGGTAATCTCTCTCTCTCTCTCTCTCTCTCTCTCTCTCTCTCTCTCTCTCTCTCTCTCTCTCACCCCGGGACAGACGCTGCCCTTTAGGTTCATATCGAACGTGCCACGTCCTGGCATCGAGGGCGTCATCCTTTTAGTGTTTCACCAACGTGCATTAAGGCTGAAGAGTTGTCGAGCGTTGAGTAAACTGTGCTGGTGGTGCTCTCTCCTCCGCCAGAGCCACCGTGGGCGTGTTTTATCAACTTAACATTTTGGATACGTGAAGCCTGGTTTTATTATGTAAATTATAACATGAATATGAGGTGGGTTTAAACCTGAGTAATTTTATGATCCAGTGATGAGAGAGAGAGAGGGTCAGTGGGTCACACCAAGATACCGCCTTTACTGATATACACATTAAGTCCTTCAGTTAACAGTACAGTACTACTCAATGTGCATAAATATGTACATACATGGCTAGTGCGTACATGTATGAACAGTCATATGAACGTAAATATAACCAATAAGTAGATAGTCATATATGTACGTATATCTGTGTACGTGGTGGAGTGTACACAGGCAGTTTATACGTACAGCGACACATGACTGGAGTGGCCAAGTGAATTTTAAAAACAGTCTCCCCTCTCCCCCCCCTCCCTCCCTCCCTCTCATTCTTCTTCCGTCTCCTCCTCCTCTCTTGCCTCCTTCACACGACCTCTCACAACTGAGTGGGAAGAGGAGGAAGTCAGAGGGAAGAGGAGGAAGTCAGAGGGTAGACGAGGAAGTGAGAGGGAAGAGGAGGAAATGAGAGGTGAAGAGGAGGAAGTGAGAGGGAAGAGGAGGAAGTGAGAGGGAAGAGGAGGAAGTGAGGGAATCCTTTCTCTACCTTTACTCTTCTCTTTCCCATTTCCTCTTCCCTCTCTCGATCCCCCTCCTCCTCCTCCTCTTCTCTTTCCCTCTTCCTTCTGTCGATCCCCCACTTCTCTCCTCCCCTCCCCATCCCTTCTCTTCCCCTCTTCCTCCTCCTCCTCTACTGCACAAACACACCATCATTAGTCAGCCTCAAACACTGGGCGGTGCCGATGATGACCGTGACCTGAACGATACACACACATGACCTGAACGATACACACACATGACCTGAACGATACACACACATGACCTGAACGATACACACACATGACCTGAACGATACACACACACATGACCTGAACGATACACACACACATGACCTGAACGATACACACACACATGACCTGCATGATACACACACATGATCTGGAAGATACACACACACACACACACACACACACACACGACCTATGTATAATGTTGTTTGAGTGTGTATATTAGTTGAGTGCGTATAATACTATATTTAAAACAACTATAGCATTTTACCCGGCATAATATTATTGTTTGAGTGATATTAACAGTTTGATTGAGTGGTCTATAACTATAACTTGGCCAAACAAAACAAACAATTACAATAGTCAGTCAGTTCTATTGTTTACGTGTGGCTGTCGTTCACGCTAGTCAAGTGCCGCCAAGCCCAGTGCCTGACGCGTTCAACTGGGTGATAAAACGTTGAACTGGATGATAAAACGTTGAACTGGATGAAAAAACGTTGAAATGGGTGATAAAACGTTGAAATGGGTGATTAAACGTTGAACTGGGTGATAAAATGTTGAACAAGTTGATTAAACGTTAAATAATTGAAGTATAATAACTTTCAGAGTATTATTGGAACTGCCATCTGGTGGGAAACACAGCTACCATCCTCAGTGACGTCATTCATTACGTTTACAGTACAGTGTTTTACCAAGTCATTTCCTCATCTGCCGAGTACTTTTTCTGGGAGAGTTATTTATTAATTTATTTATTTACTTATTTATTTATTTGTTATTCTTACTAGCAGTAGATAAACAAAGACCTCGAGGAAAACAAGTGAAGGCGATTCAACATGGCGGGTCTTGCAAACACTGACGATGGATCAACATGGCTGCGTGGACCGACACTGAGAGGTGGACCGACACTGAGAGGTGGACCGACTTGGCCGTAATGTGTTTACTTAGGTCGAGGACACACCCCCCCACTACCCCTTCATTGTCCACAGCCACCACAGGCTCAAACCACACAGCACCACAGCCACCACACACCACCACAGCCACCACACACCACCACAGCCACCACACACCACCACAGCCACCACAAGTTCAAACCACACAGCACCACAGCCACCACACAGCACCAGTCACCACACAGCACCACAGCCACCACAGCCACCACAGTCACCACACAGCACCACAGCCACCACACACCACCACAGCCACCACACACAGCACCACAGCCACCACACAACCACCACAGCCACCCAAACAGCACCACAGCCACCACACACCACCACAGCCACCAAACAGCACCACAGCCACCACACCACCACAGCCACCACACACCACCACAGCCACCACACACCACCACAGCCACCACACAGCACCACAGCCACCACACACCACCACAGCCACCACACACCACCACAGCCACCACACACAGCACCACAGTCACCACACACCACCAGCCACCACACACCACCACAGCCACCAACAGCACCACAGCCACCACACACCACCACAGCCACCACACACACCACCACAGCCACCACACACACCACCACAGTCACCACACACACCACCACAGCCACCACACACCACCACAGCACCAAAACCACCACAGCCACCACACAGCACCACACAGCCAACACACAGCACCACAGCCACCACACACCACCAGCCACCACACACAGCACCACAGCCACCACACACCACCACAGCCACACACACCACCACAGCCACCACACAGCACCACAGCCACCACACAGCACCACACAACAAACAGCACCACCACAGCCACCACACACACCACCACAGCCACCACACAGCACCACAGCCACCAAACAGCACCACACACCACCACAGCCACCACACAGCACCACAGCCACCACACACCACCACAGCCACCACACACCACCACAGCCACCACACAGCACCACAGCCACCACACACCACCACAGCCACCACACAGCACCACAGCCACCAAACAGCACCACAGCCACCCACACACCACCACAGCCACCACACAGCACCACAGCCACCACACAGCACCCCAGCCACCAAACAGCACCACAGTCACCACACACCACCACAGCCACCAAACAGCACCACAGCCACCACACACCACCACAGCCACCACACAGCACCACAGCCCACACCACCACAGCCACCAAACAGCACCAGTCAACACACACAGCCACCACACCACCACAGCCACCACACAGCACCACAGCCACCACACACCACCAGCCACCACACACAGCACCACAGCCAAACAGCACCACAGCCACCACACACCACCACAGCCACCACACAGCACCACAGCCACCAAACAGCACCACAGTCACCACACACCACCACAGCCACCACACACCACCACAGCCACCAAACAGCACCACAGCCACCACACACCACCACAGTCACCACACACCACCACAGTCACCACACACCACCACAGCCACACACCACCACAGCCACCACACACCACCACAGCCACCACACACCACCACAGCCACCACACACCACCACAAGTTTGAAAATATTCATCTTATTTTCGAAATTTCTGAATACCAACATAAAATAGTTTGAGAGAACTTTACGAATCTTGATGAAATATAAGATTTTCTGTACGAAGTCATACCAGGGTTTGGGTTGGTAGGTGTGTGTGTGTTTATGGATCAGTACAGCGGGTTCAAAATTGACAAGACACTGAATTTTAGATCCACACACACACACACACACACACACACACACACACACACACACACACACACACATATCTATGACCCCTTATGGTAATTAAAGCAAATGATCAAACAGCTCAAGAAGAATATTCGCTTTCGTGATAATCATTTAAGAGAACATGACACGCTGACGAATAATGATGGATGTGTCTACAGGAGTGAATTTATCTGGAGACTCTCAGCCTCTCAGTCACACGGTAATAGTGATTAATGAGACTTAATGCTAGTTCACCTATATAAAAAAAAAATAGTGTTTTTTCTTGCATTATTTTTCTTCATGATATATTCATGTGTTATACATCAAATAGTTTTATTCTATGGACCGATTAATATGTGATGTCACGGATTCACAGGTACACAACACCCACTAAAACACCTGCACCTCCAAACAACATTTACACACCTGTACTGCGTAAAACAATACCTATAACACACCTGTAATCCTTAAAACAACACCCACTAACACACCTGTACTTAAAACAACACCCACTAACACACCTGTACTCCTTAAAACAACACCCACTAACACACCTGTACTCCCTTAAAACAACACCCACTAACACACCTGTACAGTTCACCTTACCTTCAGCTTAAACAACTTGTGGTCGACGATTTGTCCTACGATGTTTTTACAGTCTCTGGCGTAGTGTTCAGGAGCCAGCATATGGACGTACCAAACCCAGTGCACGTCTGAAGGAGGCGCAAGAATCTTCTCCGTGCAGTTGGCCGCCAGAGGGAGCCACAGCAGCTCATACCTGCAGAAGAACATGAGGTGCTGTAAGGAAAGGTGATGGTTGACACAGGTAGATTGATGAAGGTAGATTGGTTGAGACAGGTTGATTGGTTGAGACAGGTAGATGATGAGGTGTAATGAGTGATCGTGGTGTATATATTTTGATGACAATAAAGATGAATAATAATACTAATAAAATTGAATCGAACTTAGAGGTATTAAGGCGAGGAGAGAGAGAGAGAGAGAGAGAGAGAGAGAGAGAGAGAGAGAGAGAGAGAGAGAGAGAGAGAGTAAAAAAAGAAAAGATGAAAATAATAACTATGATTAATGTGGTAGGTCGTGAGTTGTGTGGGTGATGTCATTACTGAGGAGAGGTAGCCGAGGCCCTTCATTCCCCAAGTGTCTTAAGTTAAAATAATTTCTTTCCCTCATAACTGGAGATGAGAGAATGCATCTAACTGATTCACTTAATTGACTTCACGTAAAATAAAAGTAGATAGAATGTAAAGAGCTTTCCAATAATGCGCGGTGGGTAATTTTTTGTTTATCTTGGGCGGAGTTATTGAAGCAGATTTAACGTAAGGTTCTGTGAGACTTGGAGTCGTGGTGTAGTGTATGTTGATGAATAGTGGAGGTCAATGGGGAAGCCCCCCCTACTACCATCACCCAGCCGCCCTTCCCTCACCCTCACCCAGCCACCCTCCATCCAGCCACCCCTCCACCCAGCCACACCCCTCCACCCAGGCACCCCTCCACCCAGCCACCCCCCTCCACCCAGCCACCCCTCCATCCAGCCACCCCCTCCATCCAGCCACCCTCCACCCAGCCACCTCCATCCAGCCACCCTCCACCCAGCCACCCCTCCACCCAGGCACCCTCCACCAGGCACCCCTCCACCCACCCAGCCACCCCTCCACCCAGCCACCCTCCACCCAGCCACCCCTCCACCCAGCCACCCTCCACCCAGCCACCCCCTCCACCCAGCCACCCCTCCACCCAGCCACCCCCCTCCACCCAGCCACCCCTCCACCCAGCCACACCCCTCTCCACCCAGCACCTCCACCCAGCCACCCTCCATCCAGCCACCCCTCCATCCAGAACCCCCTCCACCCAGCCACCCCTCCACCCAGCCACCCCTCCACCCAGGCACCCCCCTCCACCAGCCACCCCTCCACCCAGCCACCCTCCACCCAGCCACCCCCTCCACCCCCTCCATCCAGCCACCCCCTCCACCCAGCCACCTCCCATCCAGCCACCCCTCCACCCAGCCACCCCTCCATCCAGCCACCCCCCTCCACCCAGCCACCCTCCATCCAGCCACCCCTCCACCCAGCCACCCCCTCCACCCAGCCACCCCTCCACCCCCTCTCCATCCAGCCACCCCTCTCCACCCAGCCACCCTCCACCCAGCCACCCCCTCCACCCAGCCACACCCCTCCACCCAGCCACCTCCACCCAGCCACCCCTCCACCCAGCCACCCCTCCACCCAGCCACCTCTCCACCCAGCCACCCCCTCCAACCCTCCACCCAACCAGTGTTCACCTCTCACGTTGTCCTCGTCATAGATTGTCGTCTCAAATCTCAAAATTCAGTTCGTTCATTTCTCTCCAAGAAAATTACTTACGTTACTCACTTAAAGCAAATAATGAGTCAAAATGGCGACAGACTTGCACTTACTGTAGTCCATCACGAATCCCGATGTTTTGTTAAATCATTTTGGGATGATGAACGAAACCTGTGAGAATTCTGCCCAGAATCTGTCCTTACCCTGATGGCGTGCATCTTACCACCCACCAGGCTGTAGGTGGGTCGGGTTCACCAGCTGACCAAGAGGTGACGTTCAACCGGTTTCCAAATAAATTCATTTTGGTCAATATTCAATAAACCTTTAATCCTAAAAGCTCCCCTTCTCGCCCATGACAACAAAGGATAGCCGCAGGACACCCATTAACTGCGCAAATATCACTCCAGCATCAACAAAGTGCGAGGCAGTGACCATGAAACTGTCTACTGGTATTTACGACACAGTCACACCGCGAAGCTGGCAGGCAGTAAGTCGCCTCTGAGTGTGCGATAACACTACTTCACTGTGCAGTCATCTTAGAAGCACAATGTGACCCTAAGGCATTGTACGATAACACATTCCTGGTCACGACTTACGAGAGAGAAGCTACTGGAGAGTTATCATTCGGAAGATCATCTCAAAATACACTTAATAGAAAACTTTCTCTGAGGTACGTCTACCAACACCTTCTGTAGGGAGAGATGGTGGTAGCGAAGATCTTAGTGAGGCTGTACACACTTCACACGCTTCATAAACCAAAGGAACACTTCTCAACGCCCATCTTCCCTCTCCTGTCTCCCTTTAAAGTGTCTATAGTATTTTTATCATCTTTTCCCTCTTCTCACAAATTCCACTCGATTGGTCCATGTGTCCACCGCCTATCTTAACCTTCACCTTTATTATCTAACAAACTCCTAAATAAACTCCTTCTCTATATATTTCCTAAAAATAAAATAAAATAAATACAAACATGTCTATTCGTAAACTACATAATTTCCCGAATATATTTACAAATTCACATCGCGGAGAAAAGAAGAAAAAGAATCCCATCCTAGAATCAACCAGAATACAGTAAAAGCTTCCATCTTTCAAATACCTTCTGGAAAACCCACAAGAGGATGTACGAGTCTCCTGGGCCCTCGAGGTATCCTTATTTCTTGTGCTTTTACTTCCACTCTCCAGGTCGTTGTGGAGGAGACTGAGCCTTTGTGCTCCGGATTCGTGCCAGCAACAGGTGACCAGGTGACTACATCCTCCAATGAGCTTATTGTTGAGCCTCATACTCAGGTTTCACTCATACAGGTGAGTCGTGAATCAAAAGGATAAACAACTCATCAAGCCACTACCCGAGCACAACTAACAAGGCGACACATGACCTTTCTCGTCACTCAGGTAAGGGAGAGGAACTTTACTATCAGGTGGGTCGACAGCTCCATTATTCCCTTAACTGTTGTGTTGGTCTGAGAATCAACCATTTGTATCCACCTCAGTGTGATTAGCCAGTGAGTTTTATGTTCACTGTCGATACGAGACATTCATTACCAGCCACCCGGGGAGACACCCACCTGACTCGTCGCCTCAGAATGATGCCACTTTAAGGTTAGAATGAGTTCGGCGAAGATCATTTACAGCTAAATGATCCTCCACTTCCTCTACAACTCTCTTACAGACCTTCACCCTTGGCAGCTCTCAATAGGACTTTTTAACTCCATTGAGACAACTACTAATGTATCCTGCATTTCCATAACACCAAACAACACAGCTCCTAATTCCTCGATTAATGCAGACTCTCCTCCTAACAAACTTCCCTTCAATGACCTATAGAGAGAACGTCACTTTTAATCTTACGCTGCGTCAATCGCCACTAATTTCAATCAAGTTTATGGGTACAGTATTCTCATAACCAAACAACCATCTTATGCTTACGATAGGCTCACTATTTTCGTGGGAAGATATTGTCCCTGAACTATTAGTGATGTAAGTCATGAAAAAAGTCCTGTCTGTCAGTTCTCTGTCCCATTCATGAACTCTGAGTCTCATGAACTAGTGAACCCATGAACCCTGAAACTCACGAACCAGTGAATCCATCAACCCTGAGACTCATGAACCAGCGAATCCGAGGCACCATACGTACAGTATTGGAGATCCATAGATGGTGTACTGTGTGATGTCTCGGATTCACAGGTTCATGAGAGAGAGAGAGAGAGAGAGAGAGAGAGAGAGAGAGAGAGAGAGAGAGAGTGTCATATAACATCCTGACAATAAGGTCAGGTCACGCTAGGTCAACACAGGTCAAGATACTGTAATGTAAGAACTTCCAAGAAACAATTTTGTAACTCAATTAAGTCTTGCCCCCAGAAATTAATAAGCTCATGAAATTCTCCAAAGTCCTTAACAGGCCGAGGGATTTACCGTGTACCCAGCGCAAAATTAATTATCCTAAATCCGGGTTACATTTTAAGACCAGAAATTCGATCTTTACCTGTGAACGTTGTGGGAGGATTTAATTAACACAGAATTAACTTGCCACGACTACTGAACGTACACAGGAAATATATAATACAAACCTACATACAGTTACAGAATCACCAAGTTACAAAAGAGGATATGAAGGCGCTTGAGTACAGTGCCGATTAGTGTACAGCAATATATGATCTTAACTGAACATCGAAAACATTAACTACAAGATCAATCGAAAAAGAATACCCCAGATTTTAATGGGTATTTATCTTTCGAATACCCAGATTTTACAGGATTATATAATAAAATCTGGGTATTCTTCGATGACCTTGTATTTGGGTATCACTGCATCGACTAATACCTTAACTTAATCTTTACTCACACAAACATCGACACAAACATCTTCCTTGTCGACAAATCTCTTCACCACACTGTACATCACGACCCTGGGAGCGATCCACGGTGAGTGTAGACATTGCATTAATTCACACAGAGGAGGCGAAGTGTTGGATGCAATTATATGCATATTTAAATGAGCAGCTTCCCATCAGGTGGCATAGTAATGAAGTTTCTGATGTGGCACTTAAGGCATAATTAAGGCTTCAACCCCCCTTACTCATAGAGACTTGTGGTACTCATGATGTGGCACTTATCACTAAGTCAGAGTTGTCCCCTCCCTCTCTCGAGACCTGTGGCACTATTGTAGGCATGGTGACAGTGTTTTAATAATAATAATAATAATGATATTGATAATGATAATGATAATGATAATAATAATAATAATAATAATAATAATAATAATAATAATAATAATAATAATTGTCATCACTACATATAACACCATCCATCATCACTACATATAACACCATCCATCATCACTACATATAACACCATCCATCATCACTACATATAACACCATCCATCATCACTACATATAACACCATCCATCATCACTACATATAACACCATCCATCATCACTACATATAACACCATCCA